AACAAGATAATAAAAGTGTCCACTTCCTATGGCTGCACTGTAGAATAAATGAGTTAGAGCAGTGAATGGCACATAACAACCACTCCATGGGGATTATACATTATTATTATTATTTCGGTAATTGGATTTCTCTGCTTCATCCTCTCTAGTGGTTATGTCACACCTTTGTCACTCACCCCTTCTTCCTCCTGCTGCACTCACTTTTATTTGGCTCTTTCTCACTCATTCTTTTAGTATCAGCTTAGATTTCACTTTTTTCCAAGATGTCATACTTTGTCCCACTGTACACCCACCCCTACATTTGGATTAGTCTCTCCTCCCTGCTGTCCTAGCTACACCTCCCTCCCTGCGCCCTCCATCGCCCTGTCGACTGCAATGCCTCTGGCAGGCCTGAGAGAAGGTCCTTGCTCTCTGTTGTAACTCTAGCACCTGACACAGAGCTGGCACACAGAAATAAATCACTTTATATGAATACTATTTCAAAAAAAGGAAGACTCAGACAAGACCGTGAACTCCCCGAGTAGGGCAATTTTATATTATCTTTGGATCAATTTTAATACCTCGCAAGAAATATTGTAGTACTTAAAAATCAAAAAATATTTTTCAAATAATGTTTCTGTGTCTCTTGAAAGTTTTTTTTTAATTTCCAGAAGAATCTATACTCTTTATCAACTTGCTTCTTCTCTGCATATCAAAATAGTCTCATCCTTCAAAGTTCAACTCAAAAGCCATCTTCTCCAGAAAGTTTTTACCAACCCCCTACTGGTTATCTATTGCTGTGCAACAAAGCACCCCAAACTTAGTGGTCTAAAACAACAATCTGTTAGAATATTTCAAAGTTCTGTGGGTGATCTGTCGTGTGGCTGGGGCAGCAGTCATCTGAATGCTTGGCCGGGCCGGACATCCCAGATGGCACAGTCCCACAGCTGGAAGTTGGTGGGTGAAGAGCTTGGCAGAGGCTCTTAACTAAAGCAGCTGCATGTGGCTTGGGCTTCTCGCCGGCAGCCTCTGGGTCATTACTCTTCTTACATGATAACTGACTTCCAAAAGGGAGGAAGCCATCTAAGGACTATGGCTGGAAACAGTTTGGGTATCACTCCTACTACATCTTATTGATTAAGGCTATGAAGTCCTTCTTGGATTCAAGAAAGTGGAGAAATAAATTCCATCTCTTGATGAATGAATGTCAAGGTCACATTGCAGCAGAGTATGTAAGATGTGAGATATTGTTGTGAGCGTCTTTGAAAAATGTAGTCTGTCTCATCTCTCAAGGCAAAATTAATCCCCTTCTTGTATATTCTCTAGGATTTTATTTCTTTCTTTTTAACATTGATTTCTACCTCTGGGCCCAGGATGATTTTGCAACAAAAGGTCTCCACCTATATGCACCCAAAACTTTGGGTAAATGGAATAACATTATATGACTCAAACATATAATTACTTCAAAGTGTATGTAGATGTTTTGTGATTAAATTTCTTTCTTTCTTTTTTTTTTTTAACCAACCCATAATAGAAATTCAACTAATATGGGGAAATCTGTACAATTTTTATGTGAAAAAGTGGGCCTTTATGCTCAAAAGTGGTTGACTAAGCCTTGGTTGGTTTATATGTTTGTCTCTTTTAAATAAATTAGGTGCTACCAAGCACAAGGACTTAGTTTGATGGCCTTTAGATTCCTAAAGTGTAGCAGATTAAGTTACACAAAATAGACGCTCAGTAAATGTTGACTTGGTTTGGTTACAAATTTCACTTAAAAATGTAGTCTCTGCCATCTACTTATACATTCAACAGGTATTTATGAGACATTTACTACGTCGCAAACAATAAAGACTGGGCATAAAACGGTGAACGAAAGCAGCGTGCAGCACAGTGAGGCGAGATGCCGATTACCGAATCGTCATGAGTGTAAACTTTCAATCATGATCAGCTCTTCATGCAGCTTCCTAAGGCCGCCTTAACAAAGTACCATGAGCCAAGCGGCTCTAAAAGAGCAGATATTTATTGTCTCCCGGTTCTGGACACTAGAAGTCTAAAATCAAGGTGTCGGCAGGGTCGGTTCCTTTGGAGGCCGCGAGGGAAGGACGAGTCCCAGGGCTCTCTCCCTGACTTGTAGATGGATCTCCTGGTGTCCTCTTCACACCATCTTCCCTCTATGCACATGTCTGTGTCCAAATTCCCCTTTTAATAAGGACATCAGTCACCTCGGGTTAGGCCCACCCTAATGATGTCATTTTAGCTTAATTGCCTCTGTAATAATCCTATCTCTCAACAAGGTTACTCTCTGAGGTACTGGGGTTAGGACTTCAGCATACGCATTTGGGGGGCTACAACTCAACTCTTAAGGCTTCTCAAAGGGAAGGTCCGTAGCGGTCAGAGAACTCACAAGAGGGTGTTTGTCATCGTCAGAGTGGCCAAGCCAAGGCTTCCTAAGGGAGTGCGGCTGAGTGGGGCCACAGAAATGACATGCTTTTCCCCTCCACACAATCTGATGAAAGACGGGTAAGAAGATGGGGGCAAAAGGGTAACACGATCAGATTTATACATTTAAAATTTGTTAAGAAAATGTGACGCCTACAGTGATATCATTTTACTCCACAGAAGTTTATGTTTGCTTTCTATCTGTGGCCATGGTTACCAGCAAGCTCAGATGAACATAACTCAATCAGAACTAGAGATGATTCCTAGACAGGGCCCTACTCCTAGGATGTACCTGTTTACAGTTCTGACACAAATCCTGGGGGTTAATCCTGAGCAGGAAGTCAGGTGAGGGTCCTGAATTCCAGATTTTGTCCTTGTAGCTTCATGTGTCTGTCAAAAATTTTCCTGAAATTCTCAGGCTATCCTGCAAACAGTAGACATCCCTAGGCACAGCTCCCAATGTCAGGTTCATCTTTCTGTGTTTTCTTTTCTTCTTGGCAGAGGAGTTAGTTCAAATGACCTATTTTACCATTACTCTTGTGGAGAACAAATTGGTAAAAGGACAGGTGAATGCTAGTAGAATAGATAGAAAACTTGGCATTAATCAAACATGATGATTATGATAACTAGGAGCAGAATGGCAAACAGGAAAAGAGATGGATAAATGGAGAAACATTATAGGTACACTTGGCAGAACTCAGAATGGATTAATATGGATAATGAGGAGGAGAAAGGTGCCAACGATGACTCTTATGCTTCTAGTTTGAGCAACTGGACAGATGGGATCGTTTTCACTGACATAAGGAATATGTGCAGAGGATGAACAAGATGTGAAGAAGGATCACATGTTTCAGTTTGAATCTGAGATGCTTTGAGACATTCAAGAAGCTACATCAATTAAACATCTGTATGCAGGAACTCAGAAAAGAGTTCTGGGTAAGAGATCTGTACGTTTTCACGTCTCCATGGACGTAGAAGATGGACTAGGTAGAGGTTTGAGAAACTCCACCATTCAATCGTCTTTCTTTGGAAAGGTGAAAGAGAGAAAGAAGGAATGGCCAGAGATGTATGAATAAAACCAGAAAATGAAGAAAGGTTACTACTTCAAAAAGAGGGCTGGTTAATAGCATTGATTGAGTGCTGCTAGATATTCAGGTGTGATAAGTAAGGATGATCTTGCCAAATTTAAGTCACTAGTGATGAGACAGCAGGTAAATCACTGCAACTTATATAAAGCTATTAGGAGAGCAACCCTATACAGCTCTGAGAGGACAATAGACAAAAATTCTTGATAACTTCAAAGTAGGAAAAGACTTCCCAAGCAAGTTATCAAGGCATTACCAATAATGGAAAATATTGATAAATGTGACTACATTAAAATAGTGTCTCATCCTTAAAAGATACTATAGGGTTGAAAAAGGAAGCCACATAACGGAAGATGATATTTGCAACATTTAAAAACGACAAAGACACTGTACTCAGGTCTGTGAATAACTCAAAGAACAATTAAAAGAAAACAAAAAAGACAACCCAATAGGAAATGGGCAGAAGACTTTACAGGCTCTTTACAAAAGAGGAGATCAAAATAATCAATCAATATATGAAAAAGTGTTCAATTTGTATAGGAATCAGTCATACGCAAATTAAACCACACTCCTCCCGACCTAACCCTCTAACTGCAATGTTTAAAAGTTTGAGAATACTAAGTGCTGACAAAGATGAACTCCCAGAAGCTGTGGGTTGGAAAACACATTAGTACAAAATTTTGAAACACTTGGCATAATAAACCTTTGAGCAGAGATTCCACTTCCAAGTGTAAAACGCTAGAGAAAAATTATGTCCATATGTGCTAGGATTCATGTACAAAAATATTCTTCACAGCATCGTTAATAGTATTCTCCAACCGAAAAAGAACTCCAATGTCCTTCAACAGTAGAATGGCTAAGTAATCTGTGAGATTTCATGCAAAGAAGAATTATACAGTAATGAAAATGGATGAGCTGGAGTTTATGTGCAACCATTGGATGAATTTCATAAGCATATTGTTGTGTTAAAGAAGCAATACACAAGGATGTCTAATTATGTGATTCAAAGGCAGGCAAAATGAAACTATATTGCCCAGGGATGTATACCTAACTGGTAAAACTACAGAGAAGCAAGGATGGGTTATCACACAAGTCAACAACGTTTACCTCTTGGCGAAAGCTTGGGGATTGTAATTGGGGAGGAGGCAGGGGCCATTTTTGAGGGGCGAGCAATGTTCTACTTTTTGACCAGAGTGGTGCTTATATGGTTGTTTGCTTTCTAAATATTCTATAAACTGTACACGTTTTATGATCTTTCTGTATGAAAGATATATCTCACTATAAAAAGGTAAAAAAAAAAAAACCACCCTACCTCTAAAATTATACTATTTAATTGTGAGTTATTTCATTATTTTTGTAAATGGTGCCTTCTAATAAATCAGTGTGTACCAAGGCTATTAGAAGTACAGCCATACAAGATGTTATATTTTGCTGGTAAAAATTCCCTATACTAGTGGAATCAGATAAAAATATGAAAAAAAATTGCTTTGATTTTAGGTCGGATCATTAAATGCATGTTTCCTTGCAAAGAGGAATTTCCAAGTTGATGTGTATGAAGCTAGGCAAGGTAAGAGAATACTGAAATTTGTGAGCTATGGTTCTCTTTCTCTGACCTCTTTCTCTTTAGATTTTAAAAAGGAATTTTTTAAAAAAGAGAAACTGTTAGAATTTTTAAACCTCAACTATCTAAATTCATTTAATACAAATTTACTACTATTAGTATTTTCTTTAAAAGAGTTATCAAGTTCTATTTATTTGGTCCTGATTCCACCAGTTTGTTCAGGTGTTAGATGCTCATCCCATCTTGGGATGTCAAGAGATGTGCGTAACATGTCTACTTCTAATGCCTTAGATGTCCGAACGGCTACATTTGCACGTGGAAGAAGCATTAACTTGGCCCTTTCTTATAGAGGACGACAAGCCCTGAAAGCCATTGGCCTGGAAGATCAGGTACCTTGTTAATGCATTTTCTTTATGGAAGATAATACCTGCTGTTTTTCACAAGTTGCATGGTCTTGATTTCATCCTGGTTCAAAGCGCTATTGAATGCCAAGAACTTCCCCACGAAGACTCATTCTATAAAGTTTTCAAACTTTTAAATTTGGTGACAGGGTGAACATTTGACACTCAAGAGCCCTGGAGGATGCAGAGCACGAGGCATGAATTAGGGGAGTCGGGTCCTGCAGATGATGACTTTTCCCCAAACAGGCTCTCAACAGGACAGTAGATCTCCGCTTTCTGAAAGTGTGATCTGAGATGACGTTAGGATGAGACGAGGCAGGCAAACTCCATTCTTTTGACTATATAGGTCAATAATCTCTTATCCACAATTCTATGCTCCAAAAAGCTCTGAAAGTAGAAAGCTTTTCATCAGGAATTCAGCAGCAAATTTGACCTGATGTGAGACTGTGTGTGGCCTTAAAAAAAAGATCTCATGAGATGTGACTATGTTTTGCTACAAAAGTATCACGTTTGATTACGAGGTGGTGCCTCAGACACTGCTGGGTGCTATGTGACATCCACATGGGCACTACGCGACCACTCTAAAATTTAAAAGCTTCTAAATTCTGAAACCAATGGGCCTCAAGGTTTTGGATAAGGATTGTGGGCCCGTAGTGGATATTCTTCACAAGGCTTCGATGTCACTGAACTTGTGTCTATCATACAGTTTGAAAATGTGTATTTCCCTTGATAGTACTTTTGTTGCCAATGTGTCTTTGAAACGGTAATATGTTAATGTAAGTGCCATTTGCATTTTGTAATTTTTTGAGGTCTGTGTGTAGGAACACACCACACGAGTTTCCAGGAGTCCTGGGATTTATGCCCTGCATGTTGCTTTCTTTTGTGATCATTAGAAAATCACTTAACCTCTTTGACAAAACACCATTTTCCTCAAGTTTAATGTTTGATTTAGACCTGATAAACTTTAAGTCTATCAGTACACAATGTGGGCCCTCCAGGACCCCCAGGTCTTCAGAATATTCATGTGTCTTTTGAGTGAATGTTGTTTGTGGAAATTAGCGAAAAACTTGAACTTCACGTCTGACCGTCACAGTACATTTCTATTTCTAAATCTGAAGGTTAAAAAGAAGCAAAAGCAAAATTTTCAGGAACACAGTTTTCATTAAGTCTCTACTACACTGTGCTTCCATTGCCCTTTACATTATTTTTTGAAAATATTTTAAAATTATATTTTAAAATTAATATCTATCTTATTTGCATTATTCCACGTTATAGTAATGGAAATAGGTATTTCTGGTTTTATTTCAGATTGTATCCCAAGGGATTCCCATGAGAGCAAGAATGATTCATTCTCTTTTAGGAAGAAAGTCTACAATTCCCTATGGGACAAAGTCGCAGGTAGGTTTTCCTCCGAGACGGAGTCTCTTTTGGTTATAGCTGAGTCCAATATCTAGAAATGGCCACTTGCTTGTTGGCCCTTCCTTTCTGCTCTAGCCCTGTCTTTGACATTGCATGCCTCGGTCTGGAATTTGGGAACAAGTTCGTTCATAGGAGATGCCTAAAATAGGGCCCAGTCTCTAACAAACGTTCGATAAAAGTTAGATGTTATTGTCATTAGGCTGGCTTTTGTCTCTATGCTTTGCTTGTACTGGACACCTTTACCTTCCAGTCTCTTTTCAATTACATAGAGAAAATTGCTGTCTATTTATTGTCAAGCATAATATGCAAGAACAACTCTACGTGATGTTGCTCACACAAAATTTAATTGTAATATAATGTATAGAATAAGCCAGAAATGCTTTCAGTATTGTATAATTTCTAAAACAACAGAGTTCAGATGCTGACATAGAGTTTATCAAAGAAAATCTATTATCCTGCTTTGTTTTTTTCTTCCAATCTTTTGCAAAGTAACATATGGAGTTGGGCAAAGTATGTATTTTTACCTAGTTATACATTCTAAGTTTGTTTCTAGGAGAGAATGAATGAACCAAACATCTATCCACAGGAGAAAAACTCCAACTTGCTTTATCCAGCAATGTGCCATTTTATTAAGTGCAGTTCATATTCTTCTGAGTCTGACCCTCTGCAGAGTTCCCACTGAGGGCAGAACAACACTTGTTAGACAACCCTGGGATCTTGTAAAATGCAGTCTGACTCTGTAGGGCTGGGGTGAAGACTGAGGTTCTGCATCCAAACACACCCAGGTGGTGTCCATGCTGCTGGTCTGTGGACCGCGTTTTGGGGAGCAGGAGACAAAGCACACATGCTCATGGGAACAGGACTCTGAGTGTCAGGAGTGCACGACTGTGTACTTCAGAGAGGGAGCAAGCTTTAGTTTTCAGAGACAACTTCCTAGAGAAAGTGAAATCTGAGATAGACATTTTGTTTAAATCTTAAATTGGCAGTGAGAGAGCATCAACCCAATAAAGTGAAAGTCCATCTATGGAGAGAAGTCGAGTGAGACCAGATCTCTACAAATATCCAGGTGTGTATTGGGCAAATGCACTTTCTCATAACAGAATCTCGTAGCGATCAACAACATTAGCTTCATCGAATCCAACCACCTTGCTTGACAGACGAAGAAAGGCCGCATGATCATGTGAGCTTGACACCAAGGGAGAAACGAGGCAGGTTTCTTAGGCAACGGCACATGGAGCATGATGCAGGAGGCCCTCGCCACTGAATTACGCTGTTTCTTTTACAAAGTGGAGAGTGACTCAATAATCGTTCCACCTTTTTCTTTGATTAATATGGAATGTGCGAGGAAACCATCCCCTCAGCCGAGAGTGAACCAATAAAACATAAATAGACCAAGGAGTGAGATACGGTTCAAAATATGAGGAGAGCTAGATGAGGAGAGTCACTTGGACCTGAGGCTAAAAGGTACCCATGCCACCAGAGATGGAGAGAGAGCAGCAGCTTCATCTCCAGGGACTCCCCATGAAGATAAAAACGTTGGCGGGAGTTTCCATTTGGGTGCCTTCAATACATTAGAAAAGGGAAGTAATGATCTCTCCCCGATCAATCCCGCTATTTCTCAATTCTTAAGAACTGAGTTAAGGCTAAATTTACAGCCACCCCTCTTTCTTTGGTTCGCATCATTACTTTTATGTCTGAGTCAAACGTCGGGGGCTCCTTCTTCTTTAAGAACCATGGAAAATTGCTGTTCCCATGAGCGTGTGTGCTTTGTCTCTTGCTCCCCAAAACGCAATTCCACAGCCTGAGGAAGTCTAAAGCCCTCTCCATGACCCCAGAGTTTCCACGAGTCCCCAGGGAGCCTACCCTCTGTTGGCTTCCACTGCCTCTCAGTGTCTACTCCCTCTCAGTATTGGCTTTGAACTGTGACGGTCAGACGTGAAGTTCAAGTTTTTCGCTAATTTCCACAAACAACATTCACTCAAAAGACACATGAATATTCTGAAGACCTGGGGGTCCTGGAGGGCCCACATTGTGTACAGAACAGCAAACAATTTAGAAATCCCTAATATGCACAATTGGATCTCCAAAATCCTTTCTGAGCCCCTTCTCTGAGCCTCCCTCCTCCAGCTGTTGCTTTCTTGGCCCGTTCTCTCTTGCGGTGCCCAGGCTCTTCCTGTCTTGCTGGGTACTCCCATCTCCTCTCCAGGTTGCCCTGGGAACTATCAAAATACTCGCTAATGTACAGAGCAGGTCAGAGTTTCCCAATTCTTACTCCTCATCACCCATACCCAGAATAGAGAAATGGTGCTTCCTTTACTAGGGAACATTCTCATTTGAAGGCATTAAGGATATAGAATCTAAACATTTTTTTCTAATGTATTAGAAAAAGTCAGCACTGCAACTATTGTCTTACAAATATCCAAAGGAGATAATGCAACATCCTTAAAATTATATTATTGTTGTTGTTGTTGTTATTATTTTGGTTCCAAGGGATATTTTATAGCTCTTACTTTTTTATTTATACTTGTTTCTCATAAGATCAACCTTTTAGAATAGATATTGGAGAAGTGAGACTTGATGGGAGTGACTTTAACTTTTGGTTATGATACAATGCTACCAAAAGATATGGAGCAGACTAGACAGGGACATTTTCCGGTCTTCCTGCAGGAGCCATGTGTCTGTCAGCTCTCAGATGTCAACCAAGCCTGATTACTGATGTGGAAAGAATATTTCCCCATGTAAATGAGACTTCATAATTAAAATGTTTCCTAATATCCTTTGAATAACAAGTATAGATTCCATTGACATGAAGTGATTAATGATACCAAAGACTGGAAAACAGAAGTGGGAGGCAGAGAATTAAGAGGTCCCCTTTAATTTTAATTTACATAAAGACACAAGAAACTCTTCTGCAGGCATTGCCTCTGTAGCATGACCAAATTATTTTTGTACCAAATATAGATCTGTTAATTTTAAATGTCTACATTTGAATAAGGTGAAGTCATAAATTAGCATATTTGTGTTAAAATGTTGTACCATAATTTGGAAAATTATATGCTAAAAACTTTTAAAGCAATAGACTCACTCTGAATCATAAGGCTGCGTTATGACTTTCATGGGC